TACAGTCCTTATCTCATACAGTCCTTATCTCATATAGTCCTTATCTCATATAGTCCTTATCTCACACAGTTATTATCTCATATAGTCCTTATCTCATATAGTCCTTATCTCACACAGTTATTATCTCATATAGTCCTTATCTCGTATAGTCCTTATCTCATATAGTCCTTATCTCATATAGTCCTTATCTCATATAGTCCTTATCTCACACAGTTATTATCTCATATAGTCCTTATCTCATATAGTCCTTATCTCATATAGTTATTATCAGTATGAAGACTCTTCAGTGGCCGTCGAGAAGAGAGACGATGATAATATGGGCTTGTTCAGTCTTTGTCTAAGCTAGTTACTCTTTTTGCTATATTACAAACAGATGATCAAAGAGCTGCTATGGAAGCTGCATAGCCTTTTAAGGACAATGTAAACCAACCCCAGCCATTATTGGTCATTGTGTAGTTTTACTAGGCAATTTTGCATATAGTAGCTTGCCATATCTTTCTGAATGGTATAATACTCACACCACTGTCAAAATTGATGCAATGTTGTCAGCTACCAAATCAACTGCAGCTGATTTTGAAGCCTGGTAGGTTGGGATGGTGAAACTGTTTTCACAATCCCTAAGCCATAGAAGCCAAGCCAATTCGTTGCAGAAATTATGTGTCTGAGGCGAGTAATTTTTAACTTGCACATTGCATGGTCTCAACAAGAGTAAAATGGTCAACAAACAGCCTAACAGTTTTTCCGAATCACTGGTACCGTTCCAGGCTTCTGGATCATGCTCAACTGTGCTATACCGAAGCTTAGGAATCTAAGCCCCTGGTTGTGGCGAATGTGACTAGCAGCACTAGCTCACATTAGGAAGAGTCTAACACAATAAGTGCATGAGATTCCAGGGCCAGTGTTGTCATTATATGTATATGATTCCAAGACCAGATAAGGCCAAGGATGAAGCTCCTCCTTTCCTCAGCGCAAAGCATGGGCAGTACAGCAGAGACCATGTGTTGCCCATGCAGAATAATCCCTTTCTTTGCCTGTTTAGTTAACTCCAAAGGAAAGGTAACATCAACGCATAAGAAAGAATGAATCGAGAACTGGCATCCCAGCACTTGGAATACTCCCACACTGGCTCCATTTCCTTCTTCAGTAGCCAATGAAGAGTCAGTATGCTAACAGTATCAGTTGCAACCTGATTAAAAGTTCACCTATGTTTCCCCCCACTCAAGTCTTTGCTCACCTCCCAATGAATTAGTCTTTTAGGTATGGCTACTCTGTTCTGTTGCACTGTCCCCTTTATCCCAGACAGCCTTCACCATGTCCATTTTATTATAAAGCAGTTCACCACCCAGAGTCAGTCTATCAACTTACTCATTACCCCTCACACCCGAATATCCTGGACAGAATAACCATGATATGCTTCTAATTTGAGTCTTAACAAGCATTGCAAGCCATTCTTTGTATAGGATACCAGTTTCTATTTTCCTAAGCATGCTCTGTAAATCTGTTACAATGACATACTGGGTTGTGCTGCTCTTAAGCCATCAGAAAGCTGCCATTAGAGCCTCCACTCCATTCTCACACTGGATGTCCTGATGTTATATAAAAGGCTCTCTGTTTTCAAACAGTGTCATTCTCCCTTTACAATAAAACAACACCCACTCTCTTTACCTCTCACTACAGACCTACCTCTGCGTGTATATGATAATGTCAACTGGACGTGAATTTTTATTTATAAATTGTTGCACCAATGCCTCTGTTTCACCAGCTATCCTTTCCTAGCACTCTTGATCCAATGTAACTATCACTCTGTGCATGGTTGTTTTGCTAGACGGCACTGTGACCCTCTCCTCGTCATGCACTATCTTGTCAGTAGCACACACATGTCTGATCATGACTTCTGCCTGTGCATCCAATAGCTACTTCCTATCGGCCGATGTCTTTTACAATCTCCCAAGGCCTCAAGTAGAAAGTGTTCCCTGTACATGGCGACTTTAAGATGCCTTTTTACCTTTAACACAATGTAGCTTTCATATACGGGAATGCCAGTATATGCCTCATGCACAGGATTGGTACGTCTCGTGTACATCCCAAAATGACTGGCATGACTCTATATTGCATGCGCTCCAGCTTCTCTATTAACAGAGAAGCAATGTATTGGGAACAAAGCATGCTGTAGAAGCTGCCAGATCAGAAGAGCAGCGCTGTCGTTCCACCTGTTGGAGCTTCACTTCTAGATCAGCTGCCAAACAAGACTAAGGGCCTAGTCTAACCTGCTATAACAATAAAGGTTTCCAGGTTACATTTCCCAATCCTAGGTTAGAACCCCAATGAACTATTCATCCTATTATGAAAGCTAAAATGGTGATTAAATCTTATGAGTTTTTGGTATTTAATTGAGAAGAGGGTATCGCTGCTGCAGAATCAATAAGCAAAAAGAGACAAGGTAATAAAATTAATTGTTTTTAAACAACATAACAATTTTTTTTTTTAAAGCAATGAGACTGGATAACTAACGGGAGGGTTCTGCTTAGCAAGTAAAGAATATCGCAATATGCCAGAATACAAACCCAACTGTACATAGGAATATATCAGAAGTGTCTCAAGAGACAGAATTATTCCAAATGTTTTGTCAAATGTAGAACATGCTAAGTCTATATATCACTTGATGGGCTGCAACACTGAAACAGTGAATAAAATCATATAACTCAAAACTTAAAAAAAAAATTAATTTGAAAATAAAAAATAAAAAAACTAAGGAAAAAGCTGTAATATAGAAACCAAACTTCACAGTATATATATTTATACTTTAAATGTTATATTATCATAATCAACATTACTGCACACTTCACATTCCCATGTGTGCTCCCATCTTATTTGAAACAGCTATTCAAACAAATTTAAATGAAATATGACACTGAATATGAAAAAAGACAGCCATCTTTACAAATTGGAAGCGTCAGCAATCCATAATATCTCTTAGACTTGTGCAAGAAAACACTACAATTAAACAGTTATTTTATGGGGGGAAAAATATATGCACAAATAGCAAGTCAAAAATAACTCAGTGGAATTGTTAGTTCTTTTTTTTTTTTAAAACATATGTACAGGGAATGAGAAATGTAAAAAAATGACCAGACTTGTGACAATTATGAACTGCTCGTAACTAGTGGCAACCCTCTTCCAAAACTTTGCTATGCAGAGGACACTGTCCTCCGTTTGAAGAATGTAAAGGGAATAGAAAATTTAATAATGTCTGTTTAAAAATACAGAGAAGCTCAAAATCTATTCTTAAATTAACAGAAAATTAAAATAACAATATGTGAATTAAACATTTTATATCTCACAAACTTTGAATGTCTAGGCTCTATAATAAATAACAATGGAGACTGTTTGAAAGAAGTCAAAAGGAGAATGGGGAGTCGCCGTGGCAGAACGGCTAGATGCGCGCCGCGGATCGGAAGGTCGTGGGTTCGCTCCCTGGAGGAGCCGGACTTTTCTTAAAAAATGACCTTGGCTCTCAGGTCGACCCAGCCTTGAGTGGGAACCGGGTGCAATCCTGGGAAGTAGAGGCGGCCGGTGTGATGCTGACCACATCACCGATCTTGTGGCGTTGGTCTATAAAATATAGGTCTAGCCCTATATGCCCTATACACCTAAAGGCGTGGAAAAGGGTCCTTTACTTTTTTTTTTTAAAGGAGGATGGCTATAGCAATGCAAGGATTAAACAGCATTTAAAGTTTATGGTTAAGCCCCAGCAAGGAAGTTAAAATTTTGAGAGCATGCATCTTCCCTGTAGCAACATAAGGATGTGAGTCGTGGATGATCTCCCAGACCTTAAGAAAGAGAATAGAGGCTTTTGAGCTGAAATGCTATAGAAACATTCTCAGAATACCATGACAAAGAAGAGAAAAAATACTGATATTTTAAAAGATCTGAACATCAAGGAGAAATTAGCTAATAAAAAGCATCTTGCCTCGGAAAGTTAAATTATTTTGGTCATATCAAGTGCCTTGGCGGATTTGAAAAAATAATAGCAAAAGGCATGGTACTAGGAAGGAGGGGCAGGGGCTGACCAACACGAAGATGGGCATAGGATATAAGTGACTCCTTGAATATTAAAGCAGACAAGGTGGGAGAGCTGGCGAGAGACCGAGTTTCTTTCAGGCAGACCGTGATGAGAACATTGTTTGGCAAAGGACCTGCTACATGATGATGATGTACAGGTAATCTGATAACAGCAGACGGAATATGTATTAATAAAGCTAAATGTAGACTAGCTTTAATTGGAGATGTACAAAGTGTTTACATGATAAAGAATATTCTATGCCAGGCTATTCAAATGGCAGCCCCCAGGTTAAACCCAGCCTGCAGAGGCCTAGCAGTTTATTGTGGCCTAACTAAGTTGTATTAATGTAATTTAATTTACTCACTCATTTTTCCTTGTAACTTGTAACTCAACATGATGCCATAGATGAGTAAATGTTGATCTGTTCTATCTTCAAATTAGAAGGACTTGATGAAAATGGAGTGTGTTTGAGGATGTATTAAAAGTGCAGAGAGTTGGAAGAGCCAGGATGCTTATACACATTCACCATAGGTAATTCACTATAAATTGTATTTTTAACGGTAGTCACATTATTTAATTTGTATGTGTAAAGATAAAAGCTTATCTGATAGCAAATATTACAGTTACGTTGTCAAGTGTTAGGGCTTTACATGTATAAAGTTAAATATGAGTTGGGATGATCAGATCTGTCCTATCTTTCCATTTTTGAAAATTAGCCCTGCTATGAGATTTTTTCAAAACACCTGGATAATGCACTGTAGTAGCTAATGAGTTTCAGGATGAAATAAATTTGATCCAAGAAGTGTTAACAACTAAAACATTAGAAACTGTATTTACATATAATCAACATTTGCTGTGAACAGTATATAATAAATCCATACATAAATAAATGTTAAAAAAAATTATTGCATCTAATCAACAAGTTACAAAACAAAGCTCAACTGAGAACAGGAGTTCCAGGATCCCCCTGTAGTATGTTTCCAGCCCTGAGTCTGTTTTCCTCCCGCATTCGACGGTAGTCAGCCCGAAAGAAGATTACAACCACAGCTGCACATAACACACTGTAGCCATTCAAAATCAAGTTTGGTACTGCAGAAGAGAATAAACACTTGTGTGATAATTTTACAGTGGATAATACTAAAGATACAGACATAAAATTGTATGTAATAATTTTCTTCTATTGTTCTTATTTTCGCCTCTTCTGTCACTTAACTTTTTCAGTGTCAGTCTAGAAAAATAAAACAGAAAGCCTCTTGTACAGTGTCACAACATATAGTATGAGAATGGAAATGGAGCTTGTGGCTTGACAGGAGCAGAGCCCAGCATGTTGTAATTGTAACGAACTTACAGAGTATGCTTCACAAAACAGAAACTGGCCTCCTACATCTAGAGTGGACTGCATCACTTGAAAAGACTCGGATCAGAAGCAGATCATGGATTTTCTGTCCAACACCATCAGGTTTGTTGGGGAAGAAGCAAGCTGACAGACTGGTTGCTGCCACTCAACCTGGCAGTGAGCTACTTTACGATAAAGCGGACACGGTGCAGGATCTCTGGGATCAAGCGAACTGTTTAATAAAAAGACATACTATCCACAGACTTTTAATCAGGCTGCAACTGGTACTATTATTAGCATGCTGACTCTTCACTGGCTGCTGAGGAAAGAGATGTGTGGAAACGTTCTGTACTGTGTTCTTGAATCATTGGGAGTTAACAGATTAGTGAGAAATTACGTGGAAGCTGCAGAGATGTGGTTTTATAAAATAGTTGAGTTGTATCTTTTTTAAATCTTATTACACTGATCAAAAGTCATGTCTAAATCACAAACAAAATAATCAATCTCATCTTCTGAGCTGTCTGCAGCTGGTGCATATACCTGTACTAAGTTTTTATCTAGTGGTTTCTTATGGATCTTTACTAACAGCACCCTGTATGAAATAGTCCAATTTCCTTAAACAGTGTTTGCACATTGTTGGCCCAGAATAACACCAACACCATTTTTATATTCCCTGCCTTCTGAGTAAATTACTTTGTTGATATCTGAAATACTTTTCCCCTGCATCCGGCCTACTGATTTCACTAATTCCTATTATTTTGATATTCATTCTCTCCATTTCCCTCTTGGGAAATGTACAAGTGTTCTGACATTCCAGGTACCAATGTTTAGGATGTAAATGAGATGTACTTTATCTACAGCAGCTAGACGACAGTCGGATCTCACCTGCAGAACATGTTGCTCCCTACCGGACGAGGTGATTAACATAAAACACATGTTTTGAAAAATAAAACTACTCACTGGTCCAGTCTTGAGGTTCAAACTCCCCATCACTAGGGCAAGCCTGCGGCAATGATGCATCATGGTCAGACAGAGGCTGTGCCAAAAACTGTGCCAGCAACATGAGAATAATACCCTGTATTTGTCTAAACAGAAAACAGTTGAAAATTGAGATAACAGAATGTGATAAACATTAGGTACTTGTTCTTTATTTCCTCTTTTACAGCTTCAGGCATCCAGGAAGACATAAGCTTCTGTTTCTTACTCTTTATTCTACCTTGACAGTACATATATCATATTGTTCTATAGTTTCTACGCCTTTCTCCTCTTTTGGTGTATGCCTTGTATGGTATGACAATCCCAGTGCATTCACTTGAAGTGGGCAATCCGTTTTATTTCCTGTCTTTGTATGGAATTTTATACTGGTCCAAGTTTAACTTTTTTCTCTAGTAACTTCATTCCTGATTTTATCTCTTCTTGTCACTCCTTGCAGTCTTTCATTTCCATGGTTATTAATTTTAACATAAGGTAAAATTAATTCTTTTACTTTTACTTTATGATCATGACAGAAATGTATTATCTACATCTGGTGTTATGGTTGAGCCTGGATAATCTGTATTTTGTTCATTTTAATTTTTAAACTTGATACTCTTATTTTAAGAGCTGTGCTAGTGCAGTAGCTAGGATGCCTGCTCATGGACAAGAGGTCACAGCTTTAATACTCACTGACCTAGGCTTCCAGGCTAACCCAGTCTAAAATGGGATGTCAGAAAATATCCTGGGAAGTAAAGTACCAGTAGTGAGGTACTGACCAAATCATCCATTCAGTGCTGACGGATCTACAAAAATATAAGACTAGCATCACTTAGTGCGGCTTAGGTACTAGCCAACTGGTTTTGCAATGGAATCCTCGTTGTTTACCAGGGTCCAGTTCTGCGGGGTGGTTTAAAATAAGAACTTCCTCTGGCTTTCAGTCAGTAGTACATGTTGCACTGTGGCGAACCATATATATTCCAATAATTAACAGTGGATAAAATGCAGCCAACCTCCTTTACTGAGACAGTCCACATTTTTTTGTAAGCATCATATGTCCATTTTAAAAAAGGACCTTTATTTACGTCACTAGTATTTCATGTGTAAGTTCTTCCTCTTGGTGTATTTAATTCTTTCAGTATTATAAGTTTCACAGAAGATACCAAAGTGAAGAAACAATCATGAATGAACGGAAAATCCTAAATGCTTTACTTTAAAAAAACATACACAGTTGTAGTGATCACTGTGAAGAAAACTAGATATCTTTAGTATGTTCTGACCAAAAGTTAAAAGTAAGAAAGCACATTATGTAGTAGAGGAAAATCAATGGATATATTCATTCGCACATATTTCATTGCTTAAGACTGAAACAGTTAATGAAGTTACGAGTATTATAATATTTTGTTATGGACAACCGAAGATCTGTGGAGATGCATGAATGCCTATGCTAGCTTGAAAGGCACTTGATGATGATGATGATGGACAAAATTATATTGCAGCATCACCATTATTCTGGTAGTTAAATACCAGAGTGCATTTAAAAAAAAAAAAAATCAATCAAAAAGCACTCTTGATTTATTAACTGAAAAAATATATCTTCAAATCAATAAAGAATGTTGTACTGAAGCAGTACAATATATTGCAACTGTAATAAGTGTATCACTGAAGCAGTATAATATCATACAACCACCATCATCAAACGCTTGCAACAATATCACTCCTGACCATGAACACCCACCCTGACAGAAAAACAATTCCAGTGCTTGTAGCTTCAGCAACTGGATAGGTCACTTCAACTGCCATCTCCAGAGAAGTGGGGTAAATAGCAAATCCAAAACAACCAAATAAGGCAATGCTCACTGCAATGGGGACATCCATTCCTCGTAACCTGGCAAACTGGAAACAGCAACAAATATTATGAATAATATGTTTCATAAAGAGCACCCCACAAAAAAATTATTTTAAAGGCAGCAATTTTAAATTTTTCAGCACTTAAAATTTATTGATTTTAAATTTATACATGCATTAACACTGTTGAATTTTGATTGAGTTGAGTCAAGAATTGACATCACAGCACTCGGGGCATTCCCATGTGTACTCCATCCTCATCTTCAGCAGCCAGTGCAGAGTTCCAATACTGATGGTACCGGTCACAATCTGGTTATATGTCCATCTTGCCTTTCCTCTGAGTGTAGTGAGCTGGCCAGGCCCTCTGGTTACACCCAGGTGCCTCATGTTCTGCAGGCCTTAATATTTTTTTCACTACTGATTCCGTTGCTTGTTCCCAAAGGGCCTTAACCACATCTGCCTTGTCATGTCTCAATTTTGTCATGTTACATTTTGAATGTTAAAGAAACAGATGTGTATAATACTTGTGGCACCTTTCAGTTTTCCCAGATGAAGTTGCTCCATTGTGCTATAGAGAGACAAGGGAATCATGGCTCATGGTGATGGTGAGCCTATGCATAGCACAAAACCTGGGCAGTCTTGAAAAGACCATGTGTTGCCTATGCAGTATGATCCCGCTCTCTCTGCCTGTTAACTCTAAAAGAAAGGTAACACCAATATAACATAACCCCTGACCCTTTTGGGTCGTGGAGGGTATTGACGGAATCACTAGCACACAGAAGTCACCATCTTTCTCTGTCTTCCACTTGTTGAACCAGTGTATAATAATTCAGTCCTGGTCATTTCTTGATGTTGTCATACCAGGTTCTTCTTTACACCCCTCTAGTTTGCTACCCTCCCCAATGCTCCTTGAAGTATAGTGTTTGCAACTGAACCATGTCACATCATGTGTCTGAATCAAACTAGCACATGACATTTCACCACTGTCAAAAGAGGCTTCAAATGTAACACCAATATTTTTAGAATAAAGCATGTTGCAGAAGCTGTTGGATCAGAGCTCTGTCTGTCCGCCTGTCAGGAGCTTCCCTCCAATCTCAAGGTTAAGGATCTGATTCGGCCTGCCATAACATCAAGTTTCAGATTAGGTAAATAATAATACAAATTATAAAACTAAGCATAGACAATTTTTATTATTTTTATTTTATGGAGTTCTGATGTAAGGTAACAGTAAAGGACCCTTTTCCACTCTATTAAAGATGACCGCCCCAATTCTGACATGCACTAAAGAGGAGCAGTGTTATGTTATCTTTTTTTTTTTTATTAATCAGTAAGGATTCCATTAAAAAAAATATTGACAGGTTACAATACAATGGCGTGGTTACTGTAATTTCTATCATATAAAAACCATAGTACTCATGTGAAATGTGGGGGGGGGGGGGGGGGTAAGAGACAGACAGTGATACAAAATGATGGTGTAATATAGACATAAATTTTATTTTTTAAAGAATTATACTAGAAGGAAAGCCGAGGGCAGGTGAGCTACAGGTAGACAAAGACATCGAAAAAATCAGGTAAAAGGAGTCTGAGAGTGTATAACCAGGGTAGGAGACAGCTGGTTTGAGATTATTGCTGACAGACTTTATTGATGAGAAAAAACTGAATTGAATGTGGGTGTGTAAATACATATATTTAAAAATATTTCAAGTCAATTTGATCACTGCCTTCTAGAGCAGCAAAGAAACAGGAACAACAAAGATAATTCTCCCAGTTTAAAAAAAAAAAAGACACCTCAAGTATAACTGAAGCTCACCGAGAAACAGTCTGAACATGATAAAATTTATTTCCCTTTTTTCCTCTCCAACATTTAAAATAAATGTATCACTGATTCAAGATTTGACTCTCTTTTGGAATGCAAATAATATATTTAAGAACTCACCTGCACAAAAGCAATGCCACATAAGGCACTAAGGCAAAACCCAATTTTAGTCACTTCTGCAAACTTTTTTGTCTTATCAGCAATAAAACCAGCAATGACAGCACCAACAGCCCCCACAGCTATCATCAGGGCTCCACACAAGCCAGCAAAACTCTGCAGCAGAAAGAAGCCAAACACAACCATTTACACACAAAATAAACTGACTGTACATAGAGCATCAATCAAACATTTAAAAGAAGCCAAACACAACCACTTACACACAAAATAAACTGACTGTACAAAGAGCACCAATCAAACATTTAAAAGAAGCCAAACACAACCATTTACACACAAAATAAACTGACTGTACAAAGAGCACCAATCAAACATTTAAAAGGGGGTTTGCGTGGTCTCGAGGTATGGTGTCCACTTTGAGTGCTACAGGTTCCGGGTTTAATCCCTGGCAGGGGCTGAGATTTTTTTTTTTTTATGTCGACTTGGACTTCTAGTAATTCCCCCTACTCTCTAGGTAGTGAGATAGTACGCCCATGTGCATTGTCGCGCACGCAGAAAAATCCCTTGCAGTTGGAAATCGAAAAGAGTAGCCTAACGGCACTGCCCAGGCAAAAAGTGAGTTTAAAGTCTACCAAAGGTATTTCAGAATCCTCGCCGGTGCTACAGAGCCAGCGCACTGTGGTGAGCTTCTTCAGACTCATACTTGAGTTATAAGAAAAACGAAGCACTTATGGGTTACCACCTGTGTGCAATGATGTTGATCCATTGTTGAAACCTCAAACATTAAAAAAAAAACAAGAATGCCACAATGTGAAGCTGTGTAGCATCCACCCTTTAGATTTTCTCTGCCACTCTCACCAATCATACATCCTGCTGTCAGGACACATTCAAGTTCTCACTGTCGTCATATATTTAAAAAAAAAAAAAAAGAAGTTTAAAAGCAATTTGGCTGTTGTATTGCATAAAAGAATACAATTCCTGAGGCATACAATAACAAAACTCTTCCAAACAAGAGCTCTATTTACTGTTTTGTTGTATTTGTATAGTATCACAGTCAACAACAACAACAAAAAATAGTTCCACTGTGGGGTTTGGAACCTGCACACCTCACTTGGCAATCACAGTAACCACTATGCTGCCATAGCTCCTAGGAGTTCTGCACAGTAAAGAAATAAAAGGTGAATACTTTGTGTGTCCACTTGCTCAGTTTCTTCTTGAACAAATAGCTGCACTAAACAAACAAAAAATACCACCTACATTTTTATTGGGAAGCCTCAGTAGCTTGGTGGCTAGATCACTCATCCGCAAGCCTTCTTCTTCTTGTTTTGCGTTCGACATCAGTCATGCTAAACATTGAGTCCCGTCTGGGTCACGAATAGGATTGTGTGTTTAAGGTCGCCACCAGTCCCTCATAGCTTCTCTTTCAATGTGGCTCCCTTGGGCCAGATCCACAGTCTTTGCTGGGAGAGGTAAGGGCTGTACTGTAGTATGTGCCCAGGGGTATCCGCAAGCCTGAAGGCCTTGGGTTAAATCAATACCATAGTCAGAATTGTTTTCAAAACTGACTTTGGTTCCCAGTCATCACAGCCTAAAATGGGTACCAGGTAATGTCCTGGGAAGTTAAGGTGGCTCTCCACTCCTGCGACAGAGTCAGCAAGTCTCTAGAGAATCACTTTATTTTCACTTTGGGACATAAACACCTTAGGGATTGAACTGTCAACACATTGTCATTTAAAATCCTAAAGTTACAACCCATGACATTCTTGGGCTAATTATTCTTGGACCACATATGTCTGTTCATTTCACTGGCAGAACATCAACGTGGCTGCTTCAAGATACGTTGGTTAAGTGATTTTGTGTATTAGTGTAGTTTTGTTTGATATATGAATGTGTTGATGCTCTGTAGCCGCAATATTCCCATTTTGTTTGTCTGTTATATTGTGAAGATTGCTGATCTACTTTTTGTTCGGTTTTATAACTTTCCTTGACTTACTGTTTGGTAGGCCTACTCACTTTCATTGTCTGTCAATCATTTTAGAGCTAATAATTCTAAATTCTGTTTCTTAATGTTTAATGTCATTCATGTTCTTGATTTTTTTTTTTAATTTTCCTGGAGCAGCCTCGGATACCCCTGAGAAGTATAAACGGAGCCCTAATCAGCACTGGTTGGGAACCACTTGTCTTTACAAATATAAGTATAAAATATATGCCCAATGTGCTACTGGCATACAAGGGTCCTTTACTTTTTTAATTACTTACATTGTTATAGTTCTGAGGACACAGAATCTGCTCAATAAATGTGGTGTAGGCTGTGAACAAGGCCAGTCCTCCACCTACTCCAAATGTCAGCATCCAAAAGGAAAAATTGTTACGCAACTGAAAAAAAAAAAAAAAATAAACAAATAAATAAAATATATACCAAGTCTGCATCAAATTTGTTAAAACCAAACCGATTGTTACAAGAAAGTCGCTTCATAATATGGTTAATGCAAACTTCTTGTAAACACTTATTAAAGATATCTTATTTCTATAGTTTAATATATCTAACATTTTTAAAATGCATATTCTGGCATAACAACGCAATTTCTGTCTCAGGCATTTTCAAGCTCAAGGCACTTTTAATGTGTTGTATTCATTATCTTACTGGTTTTTTCTTGGTATAATTTAAAAAAAAATATCATTTAGCTTTTCTTCTGAACCCAAATTTTCTATTTACACAGACAACACAAATTGTTTAATTATATCTAAGCACACAAATATAAATACATCACCATGAAGTGAATTACATTACACTGTTTCATCAAGTCTGTGTTTCAGTTCATCCAATTTCAATAAGCTTTTTTTTCCTTGTATCCTTCTTTGCGTCATTCCTCCTCCTTGACCTATCTTCTTCTTCTGTGTTGCCCTTAGAAGGGTGGTTCACATATTATGTTGTAGTTTACAGCTAGGCTGTGATATCTTAACCCTCTAGTCCAACACATTAGATTTCAGCAAACTCCTAATTAGTCACTGTTTAAGACGAGCTTGTGGGAGCCACCGTGGTGTAGCCAGAGGCTTGCCAGTGGATCCCACAGTTGTGAGTTCAAATCCGGACAGTGCTGGACTTTTTCAAAAATGATCTTAAGGCCCAGTTCAGCCGAGTCTCTTAAATATGTACCAGGAAAAAGTCATCGGAAGTAAAGGTGGCCAGTATGATCACCCATATAGTAAATAATTGGTGTATAAAATGTATGTCTCGCCCTATATCCCCAATATACCTTTAGGCGTAAAGAAATGAGAGCCCGATCTACTTAACCATTCGGCCAGCAGCTCCTCATCGTATGACAGAGATTTCCTAGAGAGTTAACTGTATTTAACAGCATAAACATTATTTTTAATGAATGAAAACTGTACCTTTTTGATGCCAATAAAAAATGGCTCAGATTGTGCAGCAGCACTAGGACTTGGTGGTGAAGGAGGCAGTGATGCACAGACACCAAAGGTGGACAAGATGACACCATAAAGACTTGCACCACTGCACACCCATAGCTGTCAACAGAGATGATGACGAGTAAGTAAGGACTACAACAAAGATGAGACGATTTTAAAATACTCAAACAAACCACAATCAAATGAAAGTCATGTGATACATAATATAATTTTCTACACACTGCCATAAAACAAAAACACATTATTGACTGTATTTATCATTAGAGGTTGGGGGGGGGGGGGTGTTAAAGCTGAGGATTTAGGGCCGCATGGCAAGTGCTGTCAATATGGACTGTGCAGGTTAAAATTTTATTTTTGCCCTGATAGCTAAATCAGAGGCACATCTTCAATCACACTTACTTGTCTGGGAGGAAGAGCTTGAGAAGAGAGGGATGACTATCAGTATCTCCAAAACTAAAACCATGGTGATCTCAAGAGAGGAGAAGAAACACCATATCATGATGAGACAGTGTGCATTGGAGCAGGTCAAGCAGTTCAAATACCTTGGATTTGTAACTGACCGAAATAAAGATATTAAGACAGAGCTCCCTACTTAAAAAACCAGCTGCTGGAAACTTTTTCAGTCCATAAACCGAGGATTTCTTAGCAAAAGAGAAATTGGCAAGAGGATAAAAATGGCTGTTTACCGCTCTACCTATGTGCCAATCCTGATCTATGGGTGTGAGCCATTGGCAATGACAACAGCTCACAGAAACCAGCTTCAGACTTAAAAAAAAAATACATCTGAGAAAGGTGGTACAAGTGACAAGAAGGGACAAAGTTCACAATCAGACAATACGTCAATTCTTTAAACCTAGGCCTTACAAACTTGAGTGGATACGGATACAATGGTTTGGACATGTATGCAGAATGGGTGAAAATCAGCCACCATGCAGGCAATGGAAGGCTAAAAACCAGGAACCAGACCTCCAGGGCGACCCAGAGTCCGCTGAGAAGAAAACATTCGTGAGTTTCTGACTAAAAGAGGACTGGAATTGAACAAAGCCAGAAAGATATCTGCTGAAGAGGAGCGACTAAGTAAATAAGTAAGAACCTCAATGGCGCACTAAACAAGCAGTGAATTAAATAAACACAAACTAGGTTCAGTACAAGGTACAATATCTTATTCCTGCGATGACATGTCAAGCAGAACCTCTACTGTTCAAGTATGTATGAAAATTTTGTGACAAGCCTCACAGAAGAGCTAAGTAATGTTCATGTATTCTTTTTTGTAACTGTATCATTGTCCATTTGTGTCACATGCTAGTCAAGGCTTTCCATTCGTTAAATTCATGTTGCCATTTGTTAGTGTGTGATACTGTGAAACTGTCTAGCTGAACTTAGTCTATTTAAAAAAATAGACCTTTTTCCAGATTTTATCAAGATAAATGCATTGCCCTACCCTAAGAAACTAAAGAAGAAGTAGCAAAAGAAAGTTTTGGTCAATTTCTATAAATATCCAAGGGATTGAAAACTATAACCACCAAGCTATAGGCAAGCCTGCTAGCTATTGTGTTATGGCGGCCCATGAGTCACTAAGAAGATTCATTTTTTAGATTTCATGAAATGTTTGTGTGCAGAGGTAATTATTTTTTACCTGAAGGGAAGTAACTAGTAAATACAAAGGGAGCAAATAAATAGCTGCTTTCCTTCCCTTTTGATGCAAAAAAGGGGTTTTGTTGATGTAGCTATAGAGAGCAAAGTGACATCATCATAAGTTTACTATGATATCACAAAGACACTAAAATTGACTCAAAATATATATTTTTTAAATAGATAAATATAATCCTACCCATCATTTCTACATACTATGCAGTTTCAACCAGTACCAAAGCTATATAGGTGTACTCGCCACTGCCATAAGATGTCATGTCATCAAAAACCAGTAAAAGTTCGAAAATTGGCTTTCTCAGGTTAAGAGCAAGAGATTTCTGCACTAATCAAATGAGTATACTGAAGTGAACAGTAAATGGAGAGATATTAGAAGTGTCTCCTATCCTGGACAGAAAATAAAAGGTAATGACAGAAACAAAACAGAAATCAAAAAGAGAATAGAAATGGTTAACAATATCTCCAATAAGATGAGAAAATGTTTGACATCTATAGAGATAAACAACATTCTGAAATACTCAGCCCTGCTGTATGGTGCAGAAACCTGGACAATGAACAAGTAACTAGATAGGAATAAACTCACAGGGAGCAAGTACAGTGGGGATCTACCAGTCATCAGTAGAAATTATCCTCGTCGACACACGTTTCGGCCCACGATTCCTAGACGTATTCGGAGGTGGGCCCTCCTGAGTTCATGACGCTCAGGGCTGGTTTCCCGCTGCACGGAATTACCGGATGGTGTTTTACTTTCGGCCAGAGACAAGACGACTTGGTGGTTTCGAAGGAGGTACTGTGAGATAAGAAGCCGCCGCGGCAGCTTAATTAAAGCAGTCAGCGTGCCTGGACGACCGAGCGACAAGCTTACTTTGGTTTACCGGACACATGTTGGACTTTTATTAGCAGTTGGCAGAAGAACACTGGCAGACAATTCGGACACGATGGACTTTCAAAGGGATGAGAAACTCTTTTCCACTAGATACCCGGACCAGCTCACCGAGGCCCGTCCCCTACGTTGTTGCGCTGCGTCCAAAGCCAGCTAGAGGCCCTTTCAGCCACCTCTCCCAGTTTTTTGAGATTACCGCGTAATCCTAGTTCTTTCACCACATTGTAGAGCGAAGTGGAAACGAGGCCTCTTGCTCCCACTTTGACGGCAAATACCCGTACTGTGTAAGCCTCGTTTCTCCTCAAACCGGCTGCTAAATCACTGTACTTCTCGAGCTTGTACAAATGATTCTCCTCCATACGCGACTCAAACGGGACAGTCAACTCAATCAGGATGAGCTGCCGTTTTTGCGCAGAATGGAGAACGATGTCCGGTCGCAGGCCGGTTTTACGGATCAACTCAGGGTACCGTTCATGGCCTGGCAGATCAACCGCCAGTAACCAGTCCCTCGCAGAGTCTAGAACAGATGGAGCGAATGTGTTTTGGTTGACCTTCCCTTTTGGAACCTGCCCAGCCTTGAGGAAACGAATGGGGACGATACTAGAACTGGCTCTGGCATTAGCCCTCATTCTAGCCTGGTCGACAACGGCTGCTAACTCCTTTAGCACCTTGTTGTGGCGCCAGGTATATCGGCCTTGACCTAGAGCTTTCCTGCACGCGGACAGGACGTGCTCAAGAGTTTGCTTTGATTTGCACAACGGGCAAGTCGGATTGTTGGTCGTAGACCATTTAACCATGTTAACACCGGACGGTAATACATTGTACGCCGAACGAACGATAAAGCTCAGTCGCAGCGGGGTCATCCGCCAGATCTCACCCCATGTGAGTATTCTTGGCAATGCGCTCTCCAGGCTGACCCAATGGCCCTGCTGCGACTGCTGGGCTGATTTCTGGACCCGAACCTCGTTTTCGTTGTCCCTCACCGTTTGTATTACCATGTCACGGCGCTCTTTGGCTGAGGCCTTTGACCACCAATTGACCTAGAAAATCAAACTGAGTCCATGGAAATGTGGATATGCAGAAGAAGAATAGGGTGTATTTCCTGGAAACAAAAACACCAAATACAGAGGTTCAGAAGACACTGTGTATGAAAAGAGAATTGAAAAAAATAAATAAAGAAGAAACAACAGATATTCCAGTGACATTAAAAGAGGTAACACTCATTTAAAATTTAAAAAAAAAAATGAAAAGTTGAAGGCAAGACAGCCAGAGGTAGAAAATGATACAAGTGGGAGGACAGCATCAAGAGACAGACCAACAACAGTCTGAGACAGTGTACTATAAAGACACAAAGCAGTGTGTGTTGGAGATCCACTGTAGCCAACCTTCACTGAAGAGATGACATCTGATTGAATGATTGATATGAAAAGAACGCAACCACAACCAACTTTCAAATATAAACTCAGGCTCCCCATCCCCCACCCCCAGCTTAACTACAGGCACAACCAGATTTAGACCTGATGATGCCCTAAGCTATATAAAGCTTGAGGCCCCTATCATGTTAAATTAAACCAGCTTATCGCAAAAAACTTTAAAAACATATAAGCTTTTTAAATATATAGAAAATGGAAATATGCAGTTCTACATTTTTATGAAATAAATGTGTTTTTGTTAATGTGTTTGCAGAATCAGAGAAATTATATTGTATAATCCTCTAAAAAGCTTTAAGTTAAAACTTAAAACCTTTTTTTCTTTCTTGATTTCCCAAATGTAAAATCACTGATTATGACATATATCAATTATTTTATTAAACTTAAATAGGCTACAACAAATATAAGCCTAGGATAATATACTAAAAATAATAATAATAAAGTCAGAAAATTTCTGAAGGAAAAGTTGACAATATTTTAAAAGGAAATTGCATTTTAAATATTTAAAAGAAAATTTCATTTGTGAAAACACTTCACTAAAGAACAACAAATGAGATGGTTTGGCCACCTGACGAGAATTTCCTGGTATAAACTGCCACAGAGAGCCACGCTGAAGAAATTTAATGAAAAAGAGCAAGGGGTAGACCACGCAAGAGATGGAGCGACACCACCAGGAGCAGCCTAACAGAAACAAACACCAACCTGTACAATGCATTGGAAAAAGCGCTCAAACGATACTTACACCCTACCCCCTCCCCCAACACCTCCCTGTGTAAATGGTGGAAGAGAAGAAGAAAACAAAAAAGAAATGTTGAGGCCTATGCAGACTGTGAAGCCCTAACCTGTAGCTTTTACCTAAATCCAGCACTGGCTGCAAATGGAGTTTAAGAAAAGAATATCATCCATGAAATCAAAAGGACTGCATAGGCCACAACGGAGGACCTAGACTGACAGTCCTATGTGACATATAATGGCATAACTTGATGATGATGATTATTATCCACCTGGGGCCTGTTAATAGACCTTGTCACAAATTTCCTCTCTAGCTGTCAATTATTTTCTCTAAAACAAAATTAATTTACCATAATTTCAATGTCACTTGGCTTGGTCACAATGGCTGGTGATAAAATATTTGCTGCCAAGATGCCTAAAGGGTTTGCTAAAAATGAAAACAAAAAAATATAAAATTCTTCTGTATATCTTTGTCTTCAAACTGTTCAATGTTTCTCCTGATAATAATCAAAACAGTGAAGTAATCATACATAAGACTTGTAATGCTGTATTGTTTTCATTCTGACTGTAAAGGCTGTGTGGTCTTGAGGCTTGGGGTCCGCCTAGAGTGTTAGAGGTTCCTGGTTCAATCCCCGGTAAGGGCTGGGATTTTTTTCACGTAGACTTGGACATCTAGTAATTCCCCCTGGTCTCTGGGTAGTAAGATCTGACGCCCGTGTGCATTGTCAAGCACGTAAAAAAAATCCCTTGGCAGTTGGATATCGAAAAGAGTAGCCTAACAAAGCTGCCCGGGCAAAAATTTTGAGTTAAAAATCTACCTCAAGTATTTCAGGATCCTCACCGGTGCTACCGAGCCTGTGCACTGTGCTGAGTTTCTTCAGACTCAGACTTGAGTTAGAAGAAGAACGGAGTACTAATAGTTTACTACCTGTGTGCCATGATGTTGATCTGTTGTTCAAACCCCAAACCCTGACTGTAAAACTAAAAAACAAAATTTGGTACTTATTTTTTTAGTTTTAAATATCTTTTCTTGATGGTCTTTAATTTAAGGCACTGTGTCAGTTCCAGAGTCCAATTTTGGAAGACATTAAAAGACATTATGCATTTAACATAATGTTCACAGTCCGCAGGAACACTATATACAGAAGTTCTCATTGTTATTATAGACCCCATAAATGGGAGCTGCCATCATGTGAACACTGAATCACCCAGGAAGACTGATTATAAGTTATTTTCAGATAGTTTCATGAAAATACAGAGAAAACTTTATGATAATATACAGAAATTTGATTATATATCATAGTTACCATTGTCCCTTGGGACACTATATGCAGGAGCTAAACACTGGTCCTAGAGATACTATATTTGGGATTTACCACCTTTTCTAGGGACACTCTATTTGGGAATTACCACTATTCCTATGGATGCTAAATATATATATATATATATATATATATATATATATATATATATACACACCCTCCACCCTAAACACAAAAGAGAGAGAGAAGGGGGGGGGGGAGAGAGAGAGAGGGAGAGAGAGAGAGGGGGAGAGAGAGAGAGAGAGACAGAGAGAGAGAGAGAGAGAGAGAGAGAGAGAGAGAGAGAGAGAGAGAGAGGGATTTTTCTTCTTTTGCTTTTCTAGCCCCTAATGGAGCATAGTCCATCAACGATCATCTTCAAGGTTCTCTAATCGAACTGCACTTCTTCTTCTTCTTCTTCTTCACTTCCTCTTTTACCGCTGTGGGTGTCAAGGGAGATATAAGGTTCTGTTTCTAGCTCTTCTAGCCGCCTCGACCATAGGCACATCGAACTGCACTACTGAACGGAAAGGTGCATTCCCCCACAACTCTCCTGTGAATGCAGTATTATCCACTCTTCCATCTCTGCTTTGTACTTTGTACGACTTCATTCTCAAAAGTTTGTCATAAAGCTTCGTCTTCTTGCAGAATATGAGACTAAAATCGTGTCAGGTAAATTATATGCAACCTTGAGTTTATCAGCTTTGAGATCGTCACAGTCAAACTGCTGACCCAGTTTATAATGGCTTATCTTGAGAACTCTTATATCACTCACTTACCACCTCTTTGATGATATTCAGCCCAAAGAATTTTTGTTGCTGTGTTACCTTGCTCAGTTTTCAAAGAATGTCCTATTATTCCTTATGCCTCAATCCTAACTCTTTCCGTCCCAAACAACATACTATGTGTGATTGGGTTTTATTCATGTGTACCAGTCAACATGTTATGTATGTTTTTACATCTTATGTTTAGTGAGAGACTCAGAAGAACTCTGAAAGCATATTTCTCTTCTTGCAATGGTTGTATAGCTGGCCCCTCTGGAAGTAGTATACCCTTGAGTTTAGTAATGTCATTCTCAACTCCCTCGGAAATTTGCTAGAACCGTGTAAGACTGAAACAGTTACACCTGCACCACTTGTTCACTTGGATCGTAGTAGTGCAACTGCTAAGTGTTTGCTAACATATCCAAAGGTCATGGGTTTGAATCCACATCTGCTGGATTTTATTATACTCCCAGATTCACCCAATCTAAGCGTGGACCAGGAAATCAGGAAAATAAAGGTGGCTGGTGTCATGTTGTCCAGTTCACCCATTGAAAAGTAAACAGTGCCGCAGCACAAATAGTCTGAAGAAAATGGTGCAGCAAAGAGAGACCAGAGGATGTGGCCGACAGTGAACACTCAGGGAAGGGGCGAGATGGACATACAATCAGACTGCTACTGGTACCATCTGAACTATAATTCTGCACTTGCTGCTGAAGATGGGGTTGAAGTGCTTATTGGAATGTCCTGAATGCTATGACGTCAGCTTTTAACTCATCAATTGATCGATCAATTTGGCCCTCTAAGCTGCTACCTGAAAGTTTACCACCTAAGATATGGGAAAAAAAAACTCAATCTGAATGGCAAACAAGCTAGGCCCATTACAGATACCCGGATCAACCTCCAAAGAAGTTATAATTAGGACACTCCTAATCGTTAGACCAGCCTTGTGTAACCAGCAGTCCTGTGAGTGTTAAGGGTGACCCATCAAGAACTGTTTGGTCTATAGAAATATGGATTTAGCACCATATGCTTAATAAATCAATAGCCAGAAGAAGAGTGCAGAGATAAAAACACAAATGGCCAAAACCAATTAGAGAGATCCTAAGTCTGGCTGATTAGCATTCCAATGGAAACCAAGCTATATGGATCAGTGAAAGATACACGTCGCAACACAGATTTATAGAGATCTGTGACCTACTCATCCGTATTCCACTGGTGGGGAGAATGAAGAAAGAAGAAAAATGCATAAATCACATGAGCAGGATCCTTTGCATTTTCTATCATCACCAGGTGCCTAGTCGAATGGCGCAGGCGATTATGCCTCTCAACAATCTGTGACCTGCAACAGCGTGTATCAGTTTGTCTGTTAACACCAATCCATGACATGACACTAGGCTGTAAAGAATCTTCTTTCGCTGTCTTTCTCTATCTCTTTCCACAGATCTTTCCAATGGTTACACCATGTTCCAATTTCCCTCTTCTCATAATATGACCAAAAAATGATGATTTGTCTCTTTCTGATGTTTGTGATAAGTTATCTTCCAGCCCTCACCTCATTCAAAACATCTGGGTTGCTCTGTTTAGCTGTCCAAGGGATTCTAAGGATTCTTCTGTAAAAACACATCTCTTAATGTTGAATTAAGAATCAACATCATAACACTCAGGACACTCCCATAAGCGCTCCATCCCCATCTCCAGCACCAAGCGAAACAGTTCCAATTCCAATGGCACCAGGAATGGTCTGACTGTATATTTATCTTGCCTCTCATTTGAGTGTTGAGCGTCGGGCAGTTTCTCTGTTAACTCCTCATAGGGCCGTTTTTCTTCGATCGTAATGATCAGTTTGTGCCTCCACACTATTCACTCACTCCCAAAGAGCCCTCACATCATCTAGCTTGTCATAATTCACCAACAAGTGGTGTAGAACCGGCCCATCTATCTGCCTGCTTGTTTCCAAACACACTGATATACCCTGGATAAAATATCTAAAGGAGTTAACTACCCAGGACCTCTGAAGCGATGCTTGCCACCTTGCATGGAGCATGCCTATCTAATTTTTTCAACATGCTTTGTGAGTCAGTTACAATTACAACATGGGAGTACAGCTGATTCTCTTGCCAGTGATAAGCAACAGTAACTGCCTCCACCTCCATTCTTAAACTAGGAGTTCTGATATCACATGCCAAGCTTTGTCGCACTAAGCGACATTCATTCACTTTTGCTATGAACCCTTATGCTGACTCATAAAACAGTGACATGAAAAATACAGTACAGACAAGTTAGATGGGCACAAACAGATAAAGAAGAATTTTGGGCTGCAGATGAGAGTCTAGCTTCTATGCTATCATGGCTCCCAATGATAAGGACCTTAATTAACTGTCTATCCTACTCACACATTGTTGCTATTGTTGTGGCTATTGCTCGCTGGCTGTCAGGAAACCATAAGGCTGCAACCTTGGCTGGCGTAAACATAATAAAAGTCTGTCCACAGGCTGCTATAAGTTGCCCAGTAATTAGCACAGGAAAGCGACTACCAGATGGTACAAAGTCGAAGACTGTTAAGTTCCGTAATACGGATCCAGTAAAATTTAACCATGCAGCAAATATTATCTGAAAATATATAGATAAAACAAAACTGATTAATCCAATTTATTTGTTCATGGGAAATTGCTCAAGAATTATGAAGGAATTTGAAGAGAAAGTGTAATTCAAACAGCATTCACATGAAACACACGATGAACAAACCAGTTTTAGAAGATAGACTGCAAGACCACAATAACAGGTTAAACTCAGCATGCAGTAAATACAACATGAAGATTAATGCAAACAAAACCGAAACAATGCAAGTTAGAAGAACCCCTGCCCCCCTACACATACAGTTGAATGGTTCTGGTCTGAGTAAAGTTAGGGAGTTTAAATATCTAGAAAATATGATCAGAGAAGATGGTAGAATTGACATAGAAATAGAAACCAGATGTCAAAAAGCAAGTGCACTTATATACCAACTGTCACCATTATTAAGACATCCAAGCATAACTATGAGTGTAAATGGACAGATTATTAACAGCATATTCATTCCAACATTAAGCTACGAGTGCCAAACACGGACACCTCCTAAAGCCGATATACGCAAAATCACCACCTGCGAGATGAGGTGCCTGAGAAAAGCAGCTAACCTAACTATCCGAGATCAAGTGAATAATGAACTTATCAGACAAATTGTGGGAACGACAGCTCATACAATATTTGTCGAGAAACAGCAGATAAAGTGGTTTGGCCATCTTGTTAGAATGCAGTAAGATCAAATACCATCACAATAACTACATCTCAGAAGATCAGCTACAAGAGCAAGAGGATGGCCG